CGAAAGTCCATAATTATTTTCTAAGCGTAGTTTAGATGTGGCACAAGGCCGTAGTATGGAGCACCCAGTGAGGATTAACCGCAGTCGTAATTGTTGTAGCGAAACAAGCTTGCTAACCATTGGACCACGTCGAAGAGTCCAAATTATTTTCTAAGCGTAGTTTAGATGTGGCACAAAGGCCGTAAGTATGGAGCACCCAGAGAATTAACCGCAGTCGTAATTGTTGTAGCGAAACAATATTTTAACCATTGGACCACGTCGAAGAGTCCATAATTATTTTCTAAGCGTAGTTTAGATGTGGCACCAGGCCGTGGAGCACGAAGAGTCGCATAATTGTTTTTCTAACCATTTGGACCACGTCGAAGAGTCCATAATTATTTTCTAAGCGTGGTTTAGATGTGGCACAAGGCCGTAAGTATGGAGCACCCAGTGAGACATTAACCGCAGTCGTAATTGTTGTAGCGAAACAAGCTTGCTAACCATTGGACCACCACGTCGAAGGATTAACCGCAGTCGTAATTGTTTAGCAGAGACAAGCTTGCTAACCATTGGACCACGTCGAAGAGTCCATAATTATTTTGTTTAGATGTGGCACAAGGCCGTAAGTATGGAGCACCCAGTGAGGATTAACGCAGTCGTAATTGTTGTGGCGAGACAAGCTTGCTAACCATTGGACCACGTCGAAGAGTCCATAATTATTTTCTAAGCGAGTTTAGATGTGGCACAAGGCCGTAAAGCATGGAGCACCAGTGAGAATTAACCGCAGTCGTAATTGTTGTGACAGGAAAAAGCTTGCTAACCATTGGACCAGAAGAGTTATAATTATTTTCTAAGCGTAGTTTAGATGTGGCACACCAAAAGTGGTATGGAGAACCCAGTGAGGATTACCGCAGTCCTAACCATTGGACCCGTCGAAGAGTCCATAATGATTTTTGTTGTAACGAGTTTAAAAGCCATAAGTATGGAGCACCAGTGACCATCAGTCGTAATTGTTGTAACGAAGTGCATGCTAACCATTACACCGTCTTTAGTCTTTACAATGAATTTGGATCTCAACTTTACACTGGGATCAGTTGTTTTTAGCAGTCGTATAAAATGCCAGCGTTTTATCAACCGAAAAAGCCTTTGCTTTTCAACAGGTTCATATTTCGAACGGTTTCCTTGTTAATGATTCAAGGCTAACCGCTTATGTCCAACAAGAAAGCGGCAGGACTCCATTTCTGGCTCTGTTAATGGAATTTTGGAAACTCAATTCAATGATCTTTTTAAAGACTCTTCTTTATGAGAAATGAAAGCTCATGAATATTCATTTCTATCAAATCAGCAGTTAATTTGCATACCGTATGCAAATTCGTAAAAAAAAAATCCGTTTTACGAATGAACTGTAGTCGCCGAAAATTAGTTGATATTACCATATTTTTTGTCATTTTCTAGATCTTTAGTAGATAGTGAAATTTATAGACCTTTGCAAGCCTTGAACTAGTCAGACACAAGGCCTTCATCTCAAGAGCGTTTAAAGATTAAAAAAAATAATAATAAGAAAATATTCAAGAGTGGCTTATGAGCTGAATAATACAGAAAATTGTGGTATATTTGTCACCGATGAGCAGTATTGGGCCATCTCAGCTTGTTTTTGGGCACACACACACACACACACACACACACATATATATATATATATATATATATATATATTAATTGCAAAAATAATGTCGTTTTTTGACGTTAAGTTGAACGTCGAAAAACGACATTATTTTTCATTCAACCCAATATATATATATGTGTACCCACAATATATATATACCAATATGGGAGGTGGGCACGTGGGGGTGGTGTACTGGTTAACAAGTTTCTCACGCTACCACAATTACTATTGAGCAGTGAGCTCGAGGGTCACTGGATAGCTCAACACTTTCGCCTTGTGTTACATATAAATTAGAAATCTGTTTTGTGGACACTTCAACGCGGTGTAATGTATTAATTACATTTACCGGCCTGAATGTTCATGAAATTTCGTAGAAAATATGCGTCTTTCGAATCGAACCTGTATCCTATACGGAACTGTCATTTAACCAGACGTGCTATGACAATTCAGCCACAGAGAACTTCCGGTTGAGCAAAGCTCGAATTACGGCTTTTAAACACAAACCTTCGCCGATGTTTCTCGATCTATCATATCTGCTCTAAATTTGTAGCCAAACGTAAACAATGACAACATGCATAAAATTGATTAAATCTGACAAATATTTTAATATATTTTCTGTTCATAATTTTTTTTTTCAATAATTCAAACATTGCGAAAGTCCTCTGTGTCTGAACGGTTATATATAGCACGTCAGGCTAGATGACGGTTTCGTATGTGATACAGGTTCGATTCCTGTCGTAGGACGCATATTTTCTAGGAAATTTCTTTAAACATTCAGACCGGTAAATATAATTAATACTGTTTAATTAAAAAACATAGTCTTTACACAAATAAGTCCATCCATTAAAAAAGAAGTATACACAGAAAATATATTAAAATAAATTAAAATATTTGTCGGGTGTAATATCTATCTATCTATATATATATATATATATATAAACTTCTTGTGTGTAACAATTGAGGCGCAGTGGGCAAAAGTTTGACATGAGACGGACTGTAATGACTCTATTCACGTCCACATGCAAAAAAGCTACCGCGCTGACAAACTACAAAGTAACTCTCTTCTTTCCCCCCTCTCTGCGATTTACGATCAAAACGAAAGGAGTGACTGAAAGTAGCCACGAAAAGAAACAGATACACAACTGCAAAGAAAGAACGAAAGAAAGAAAAAGAAACACAGAGAGAGAGAGAGAGAGAGGAAATAGAAAGACATAGAGAGAGGAGATAAATATATGTCAGAGAAAAATTGGCAGAGGTTTATTTCAACTTGAATTGAAATTCATATAAAGTTACTTTTCTTCAAGGTGTCTTGGATTGTGGGATTGACTATCGCTTGCGATGATGTGTTAATTCCTCAACTACTTTGACTCCCAAGACCACCCAAGGTATGACCCAAAAGCGCGCGTATAAAATGAGGATAAAATACAGATTACCTTGGGTGATAAAAATTAGACACTGTTCATTTATTAACGGTAACAACGAACTATTTTAAATTAAAATATTGTATTTGAATTAAACGAATATTACTTTATTTCTTATAATACATTCATTCTTGCCCTCAACTTTGACGGCACGGATACACTAGTATATATATATAAACACGTAAGATAATGAACTATAAATTGATTGCCTCGGTTTTATTTTTAATCTTCATTTGTCTTGCATTTTAAGGGCTCTAGGTTGGATTGAGCACTTTTAATTGCCAACTTTATCAGAGTTTGCCAATTGTGAGTGTGCTTCGATATATATATATATATATATATATATATATATATATATGCGCAGGTATGCAGAAAATGTGTGCATAATCCGGAGTTCCTTAGTATTTTTGTTTTTTATTTTTTAGAAGACAGTGTCCCATACAGAAGTTTTTTTTTGTTTAAAAGGAATCATATTTTTAAACAAAAAAATATTATATATATATATTTTATATATATATATATATATAGAAATTTCAAGAGGATAGAATCCAGGTTAACTCATTGTCCAGGATGAGCAAGAATATAATACACACACACACACACACACACACACACACACACACACACACATATATATATATATATATATATATATATATATATAGATAGATAGATAGATAGTTAGTTAGATAGATAGATAATATTAGTGGTCAATATATATATATATATATATATATATATATATATATATGTGTGTGTTTGTGTGTAATTTTCCAAGAGGATAGAATCCAGTCTAGGACAGAGTAAGAATATAATATAAAAGGTTCAACCACTAATATTCCATGGTTATAATTTATTACATTGGAATCGTAATCAAGATCCAATTCATCAGACTTCCAATTTCAAAAAGAAATCGGAAAATTGAATTTGTAGGTCTGATGAATTGGATCGTGATTACGATTCCAATGTAATAAATTATAACCATGGAATATTAGTGTTTGAGCCTTTATATATATATATATATATATATATATATATATGTGTGTGTGTGTGTGTGTGTGTGTGTGTGTGTGTGTGTGTGTGACAAATGAAAGAGTGTTTCATAGAAATTAGATTACGCGTTTCGCCATTCTAGGCTTCATCACATCAAAAAAAGAAAAGAAAGAAATATGTGTGTGTATTTGTGAGTATGGTTAAATAATAAAACGTTGGTACTTTTTCCACTAAGCTGGCGCTTCTCGTGATGAAAGAAAAGAATGAAATTGTGTGACTTTTGTAAGAAAAGCCGTTAATATTTATTCTCTATCATTTCTTTACAATCTTCTTGTTTTTGTTGAAATTGAAAGAAAGAGGATACAGAATATTGTTGTGACACAATGAAGGGTTCACCTACACAAAAGGAGATAGATGCGTATATTATGGCAAGTGATAAAATCTATGAAATTGGGTGTTGGAAAGCAACAACCCTCTTGACCTAAAAAGAATATAACAATCGGGCAGAAAAGACTTTTTGGTTGTTGGTTTATATCAACAGTTGAAATTAGGATTAAGTTAGTGCCGAGCTGTTTGTTACTGTTTGGAATTCTGAACATCGAGATTCCAGTGCCGCGTATTAGAGTTGCTAGCCATGCGTCGTAATGTAAAGGTGGGCAGAATCTTGGTATGAAAATTCAGAGTTCTTGCTGTTTGAGGGGAAGAGATGATCTGTTAACCTTAGCTGTCAGAAGTAACAGAAGATGATCCCAAGTTTCCCCAACCTTTCTACCTCCCCAAAATGTTCAATAAAACCCCTAAGTTTTGCAAGGCTTTCGGCCACATCACGCTGAATCACCAGATCACTGAATTTAAGCAACGTCGAGCCTGGTCAGTACCTAGATGGGTGACCGCTTGAGAATATCAGGTACTGCGAGCTTGGATGTGAAGTTAGTATTACTTACGGCCGTAGAGAGTTGAAACGCCGGCTCTCGTACGATCACTAAGTTAAGCAACGTCGAGCCTGATCAGTACCTAGATGGGTGACCGCTTGGGAATACGAAATGTTGCAAGCTTGGATATGCAGTTAGTATGACTTACGGCCGCATCGCGTTGAAACACCGGTTCTCGTACGATCACCAATGTTAAGCAACATCGAGGCTGGTCAGTAACTAGATGGGTGACCGCTTGGGAATACAAAGTGCTGCAAGCTTAGATGTGCAGTTAGCATGACTTACAGCCGTATCGCGTTGAAACACCGGTTCTCGTACGATCACTAAGTTAAGCAACGACGAACCTGGTCAGTACCTAGATGGGTGACCGATAGGGAAAATCATGTGCTTCAAACTTGGATGTGCAGTTAGTATGATTTATGGGCGTATCGCGTTAAAACATCGGTTCTCGTGAGATCACCAAAGTTAAGCAACGTCGAGCTTGGCCTGTTCTTAGGTGACCGCTTGCGAATATCAGGTGCTGCAAGCTTGGATATGTGAGTGGAGTAATGGATAATGGCTAGGAATTGTTAATGGGGAAAGCCGAGTTCCAATTCCAGTCAGGTTCCCTACCTGTAAGAGAATGTCCGTAAGAGAATGTCCGTAAGAGAATGTCCGTAAGACGGGACAATTCGGATCAGTTCGATTATTACAAGGGTAAATTGTGAAGATAAGAAAAACTGACGGCAACTTGTTTGATTTGAGAATAGCATTGGTTGAGTGCTTTTAAAGCTAAGGTTGATAACATATGAATCAAGTATCTATTTTCTCACAGTCTGTTTATTTATAAATGTCCAGGAAATTTTAGCTTGAGTCGTCTATGTGAAATTCACTCGGTAATAATATATTACAAAAAATAATACAGACAAAATGATATTTCCGCTCTAACCGCTGATTTTCCTTTTGTTTTTAATAAAAGCATTATTATTATCACATCATAAAAATATTAACGGGTAAAGCAACTAATTTTTAATAGATATGATATCTGTTTAAAATATGTTTTAACCAGATGTCATATCTGTTAATTAATTCAATACATTAATCTTACACCTGAAGAGCGGATCTAAGCTCCAAGTCGAAAGATCAGACAAACAACTTTTATTTATCTATTCATTATGTATATATGCAATTCGATTGCAATATATATATATATATATATATATATATATATATGTGTGTGTGTGTGTGTGTGTGTGTGTGTGTGTCTGTGTGTGTGTGTGTGTGTGTGTGTGTGTGTGTGTGTATCATCACCCCGTGCGCCGATGGCTTCGGTGGAGATTTCCGACTGATACCAGATCAGTTGGTTTTCGATCCTGGCTTGTGGTAATCGGATGTCAAGTCACACTGATGAGCTGAGTAACACCGAAGCAGGCTGTTTGTTGACAAATATATATATATATATATATATATATATATATATATATATATATATATATATATAATTATCTATTTAAAAATATGATTCCAAGACGCTACATAAGAGGTCTCATGTTTTCAAAACAAGAGCCGAAAACTTCAATATAATTATTTGAATTAAAGTAAGCTCTGTTCCATCTTCAAGTGAATTTTTTTTTTTGAATAACTTATTTCTGAAATTTACGTGTTTTAATAGCATATTCATAATTGAAATCAAAATTTCCATGGTAACAGCCAGAGCGATTGTTTAAATAGGGAGGGATGTTGCGTGTTAATAATTTGTACCAGTAGAGCTTACTTTAATGCAATTTAATTCAAATAATTTATTAGTTTTTATTGTTTTGAAACATGAGACTTCTTATGTGTTTTGAATCATATTTTAAATAAATAATTATATTTATACTCTACTTTTTTCGAATCATATTTTTTAAATAAAAAAATTACTTTTGGATTATTTTATGTTCTTTTCTATTTTTTATATCACACACACTCAAACATATATATATATATATATATATATATATATAATAAATATATATAAAGAACATGTTTGGATTCTTTATGAGTGCTCAGTACCTAAATAATGTTTATTCAAAATTTCATATATATATTATATATATATATTATATATATATATACATGTCAAACATCCAAATAAATATGGTATATATATTCATTCATTAGGAAAAGAAAGTTTTATTACGATTGTTAGTGTGGAAATCGATAGAACCTTATGATTCGGTTGCGCCAATTAAACAATGTGATGCAAATTGTGATAAGTATCTAATTTCCTTAAAGTCAATTCACTAAATAGATTTAAAGAAAAATAAAATCAGTATTTTTGTCACCTTGGCAGAGCTTAAATACCAATAACCTTCCTATACTCGTCGTAGGAATGACCCTAAACTACATCTAGTAGTAAGGCCTCACATCGGGATATTGGAGGTTTCTGGGAGTGTGGGACGACCTCTTAATTGCTGTTGTTCCCAGGTCCACCCTTACTCTGTCTGGTAGCAACTATTAGGGTTCCAAATCTGGGCAAACAGTGAACCCCCAAACAAATACAAACCAATATAAAAATATAAATATGTTTTTATAGGTAACTTACCAACAATACATTTTATATCTGTCTATATTTCTGATATTCATAACGTTTCGGTCCTTGTGCACTACTGCCTTCTTCAGAATCTGTTTATATTTCTCAGATGAGTTATTGTAATTATTTATATTCTGTATATTGTGTACATTATTCTGACTGTTGTCCTCATCTTTTTTAACCATATTCACGACGTTTCGGCCCTTATGCACTCAGGTCTTCTACAGGAACTGTCTGCATTTCTGAGATGAGTTATTGTAATTACTTACATTTTGTACATTGTTCGAACTGTTGTTCTTATCTTTATTGCCATATTCTCAACGATTCGGCCGTTGTGCGCTTCGGCCTTCTTAAGATCTGTCTATATTTCTGTGATGACCTATTGTAATTATTTACACTATTTATATTGTTCGGAGTCTTGCCCTCATCTTTATTCTCATATTCACGACGTTTCAGCCCTTGTACGCTTCAGCCTTTTTCAGGACCTTTCTGAGATGAGGTATTTTAATTATTTACAATGTTTACATTGTTCGGTCTATTGTCCTCATCTTTATTGCCATATTCACGACATTTCGGCCGTTGTACGCTCCGGCCTTCCTCAGGTGATTGGAATTTTGAACTGAACCATTTATTTCACCCACCGGAGTAGATTGTTCTAGTTCCACGTGCTATGCCTCTCCTGAGTGTCTCGGTTATCTCCCTTTGACGCAGCTCTGCATGCTTTTGTTCACCACTGCCGTAGCCAGGTATTGAACCCACAACTCTTTGGGTGAAGTCACTGGATCCGACCAAAGTTTTTATCTGTATTGAAGCCATAACATTGTGTTCTTAATATTTAGATTTCGACATTAAATAACCCATAGAGATGTTGATATGCCGAGAAACAAAATCAACCAAACAATCAATATGGAAGAATAAAATTTTATATAAAAAAGGAGCAACAATACATTTTATATGTACGGATTTGTAACCATAAAATTGTGTTCCAAATATTTAGATTTCGACATTAAATAACCCATAGAGATGTTGATATGCCGAGAAACAAAATCAACCAAACATTCACTATGGAAGAATAAAATTTTATATAAAAAAGGAGCAACAATACATTTTATGTGTACGGATTTGAAACCATGAAATTGTCTTCCAAATATTTAGATTTCGGCATTAAATAACCCATAGAGATGTTGATATGCCGAGAAACAAAATTAACCAATATTCCGCCTATTTTTTTTCTTTCTGTATAAGCAAAAATAAATAAATTCTGTGACCTCAGGTTGTCAAGTGCAGAAGGAAATACAACTCATTAAACAATTCATTAAACAAAACATAAGTTTTTCTTTTTCGCTATTATTTAATTCTTTTAGAAACCTGTCCGAGCATTGAGGATTCGTATTATTTATTTTACGGTTGTTTTAGAGGTAAATATATCCGCGCTGATTTGTGTCGAGGCATTTGAAACAGTTGTCTTCATATGATGATTTAATAGCTTATTCCCCACCCTTAATAGTGTGGAGTGTTTTAAAGGCAATAAAGCCACTAAGGAGTAAGGGATTACTGAGTTATAGAGAACACGAGAAAAAACATAATTAAGGAGAGAGAAGAATAAAAGAACAAGAATTAAGAAGACAGAAGATAACGATAGACATTGCATTTGATTTATTGAGGATCAAAGGCAATAAAGCCACTAGGACACAAGGAGTTACTGAGTGTTAGAGAATATGAGAAAAACTATATTAAGGAGAGAGGACAATAAAAGAAGAGGAATTAAGAAGACAGAAGATAACGATTGACATTGCATTTAAATTTTTGAAGATGAAAGTTGACTGGAAAGTAAGAAGAGTGAAAGAGAATTAGAAGACTTTTGTGAGGGGAAAGGACAATAAAAGAAGAGGAATTAAGAAGACAGAAGATAACGATTGACATTGCATTGAAATTTTTGAAGATCAAAGTTGACTGGAAAGTAAGAAGAGTGAAAGAGAATTAGAAGACTTTAGTGAAGGGAAAGGACAATAAAAGAAGAGGAATTAAGAAAACAGAAGATAACGATTGACATTGCATTGAAATTTTTGAAGTTGTCGGGGAAGCAAGAATCCGAATAGGACATTCAAGCAAGAAGTGTGATAAAAGATACTATTAGCATAGAACTTACGGTTTTCACTGGGAACGCGAGAGAAGCTGAGATGCAGGGTTACGATCAATAATATTGCAGATTCCTCTTTGGATTTTATCAAGAATCTCTAAATATATAGCAGGAGCACCAGACCATATGTGGCAGCAATATTCAAAGCATGGATGAATGGTAGACTTATAAATATGTAAGATAGATTCTGAGAGAAATATTGCAGATTCCTCTTTGGATTTTATCAAGAATCTCTAAATATATAGCAGGAGCACCAGACCATATGTGGCAGCAATATTCAAAGCATGGATGAATGGTAGACTTATAAATATGTAAGATAGATTCTGGAGAGAAATATTGCAGATTCCTCTTTGGATTTTATCAAGAATCTCTAAATATATAGCAGGAGCACCAGACCATATGTGGCAGCAATATTCAAAGCATGGAGGAATGGTAGACTTATAAATATGTAAGATAGATTCTGGAGAGAAATATTGCAGATTCCTCTTTGGATTTTATCAAGAATCTCTAAATATATAGCAGGAGCACCAGACCATATGTGGCAGCAATATTCAAAGCATGGATGAATGGTAGACTTATAAATGTGTAAGATAGATTCTGAAGATAAACATTGCAGATTCCTCTTTGGATTTTATCAAGAATCTCTAAATATATAGCAGGAGCACCGGACCATATGTGGCAGCAATATTCAAAGCATGGATGAATGGTAGACTTATAAATATGTAAGATAGATTCTGGAGAGAAATATTGCAGATTCTTCTTTTGGATTTTATCAAGAATCTCTAAATACATATCAAGAGCACCAGACCAGATGTGTCAGCAATATTCAAACCATGGATAAATGGTAGTCTTATTAATATATAAGATACATTCTGGAGAGAAACATTGCAGATTCTCTTTTGGATTTTATCAAGAATCTCTAAATATATAGCAGGAGCACCAGACCATATACGGCGACAATATTCAAAGCATGGATGAATGGTAGACATAAAATAGATTATAGCAAGAAAATTGTTTAGCACTAGACAGGGAACCAACTTTCCTAGCAAATTTTTCAATATAATGTTTCCACTTCATGACAACGGAAAACATTGTTGCAAGAAGTCGCAGTCAGTCACTTTCCTGGAGGTTAGTGTCAGCCATACTAATGGAAGGTAAAATGTGTTCTTTCGATTAAAAGAATACCCAACAAAATATTTTAGCTTAATATTTAGCAAGAGGTATGTAATGTTATCGGAATATATTTGTCAGGGAACTCAAAATTGGTATTAGTCGTAATAATGTGTGAATTGCAACCACGTTACTCTAAATTAGTATTAATATAAGATTCTTATGGAATTAAAACGGAAGGTTTTGACATTGAGACTGTGACATTGAGGTTATGACCTTGACATTATTAGCTTTTGAAAGCTTCATATTTAGATTTGTCAAGTAGTTATTTGACTTGTAAATTTTAATGGCTCCAAAATCAAACAGCTCTCATTTAACCAACATCAAGAAACTTTCCTGCCCGGCATCAGTATGGCTGACGCTAGACTCCTGGAGAGCAACACACTGTACCTTCTTGGCCACACATTTTCAACTGTGCTAACCATTACACCACGTCGATGTACCTTTCTTTTATTCATATAATTATAAAAAATATAATTAAACACTGAACCTTTTCTCAGAATAGATTTAACAAAATATGCGCCATTTTTATCGTATGGTATATTAGAATTAATTTTTCTATTTTCGATTTTCTATTGCTATTAAGTTATAAACTGATCCCCCATAATTACTTTATATTAATTAAGTAATTGGAAAAAATATTTTTTCAAACCTTCGTTAGTTCAATTTGTTTAAGTACCCGAAAAATATTTTCTTATTCAAATTTAGAAAATAGCAAAAATATTCAAGTATCTTTTGGGATAACATTTTCAAGAAACCCCAAGGAGTTTCTTGACTTAGTCATAATATTTGCGTGAATTGTAAACACATTGCTGTAAATTAAAGTCTGTCTATAATAAATATGGTAGAATCGTATGTAAAGGTCACAGTACATTACAGCCTTACGGCCATATCTTGTTGAAACACCGGTTCACGTACGATCAGCGAAATTAAGCAACGTCGAGCCAGGACAGTACCTAGATGGGTGACCGTTTGTGAATACCAGCTGCTGTAAGCTTGGATGTGCGGCTGGTGTAAGAACAAAGAAAAAGAACAAACATAAACGAAAAGAAACAAGAAAGTAAAGCCTGCAAAAAAGAAAGAAAGAAAGAAAGTAAATAAAGCTTGCAAGCAAGAAAGAACGAAAAGAAAGAAAGAAAGGAAGAAAAGAAAGAAAGAACGAAGCGAGAAAGAACAAAAAGAAAGAAAGAAAGAACGAAAAGAAAGAAAGAAAGAACGAAAAGAAAAACAGAAAGAAAGAAAATACTGCTTGCAAGCAAGAAAGAAAGAAAAGAAAAAAAATAAAATAAAGCTTGCAAGAAAGAAAGAACAAAAAGAAAGAAAGAAAGTAAAGCCTGTCCTGAGATTCATCTATCTGTAAAGAATATTTTAATTTTTCCACCTGTAAATCTAGCAAAATCTGTTTCTCCATCCGGGTCACCAATTTAATACTTGACGCCATGACCCAATTATTGGAGCGTCATCTTAAAATCATCATGTCTTTTAATTATACAAATCTACGCAAAAATGGCCAATGGGAAAGGAGAGCAAGGAGAAAGAAAAAAGGAGAGTAACTCGTCTGTATTTGCATTTATTTAGATTGGAATAAACGGATTATACTTTCTTTTTTTTAAAAATACGTTGTCGTGATAAAAGTCATGAGATAGGTGTAGAGGGTCAAGGTCGTTGACGCCACCATACTTCTCCGACGTGAAAACACTTCGACCTTATATGATATCTCCGGAGTTAACACCTTCTGAAAATGGTTCGTCGATAATGTAAAGTTTGACTCTAAAAATTGAAACCAAAGACTGCGAAACGCAAAATAAGTTGCGTTTCACAGTCTCGTATAATACGCACTTTTAGGTTACTTCTGGTGTATAATACGCATTAACAAATTTTAACACTTTAATCATCCTTTGTGTGTATAATACCCACTAATTTTAACCTTTTATCTTACTTCTGACGTATAATACGCACTAAGCAATTTCAAAAGAAATGATGGATTCTTATTTATTAATCCGACAGATTTGATTACTTGAACGTTATTTTTAGTGGATACTCATATTTGAGTAGACGTTCCTTTTAATTGTTAAACAGTTAATATTTAATATGCATATAAATGTCGTACTTTGTTAGTCAATTACACTAATAACACCCATTTGCCAACCATATTGAGAATTTCTTTTACTCGGGTGATTTGCATGTTCATTCATTATTTATGAGATTTTTTGAAAAAGTTAATATTTAATGAAAATATCCTTGGTTACCATTCTTCTTCTTTTTCTTCTTCTTCTTCTTCTTCTTCTTCTTCTTTTCTTTCTTTCTTTCTTTTCTTTCTTCATATTCTTCTTCTTTTCTTCTTCTTTTTCTTCTTCTTCTTCTTCTTCTTCTTTCTTCTTCTTCTTCTTTCTTTCTTCTTTTCATTTTTCTTCTTCTTCTTCTTCTTCTTCTTCTTCTTTTCTTTCTTTCTTTCTTTCTTTCTTTTCATTTATACATGCTGTCATATTCTTCTTCTTCTTCTTCTTCTTCTTCTTTTCTTTCTTTCTTTCTTTCTTTCTTTTCATTTATACATGCTGTCATATTCTTCTAATTCTTCTTCTTCTTCTTCTTTTCTTTCTTTCTTTCTTTCTTTCTTTTCATTTATACATGCTGTCATATTCTTCTAATTCTTCTTCTTCTTCTTCTTTTCTTTCTTTCTTTCTTTCTTTCTTTTCATTTATACATGCTGTCATATTCTTCTAATTCTTCTTCTTCTTCTTCTTTTCTTTTTTTTTTTCTTTTTTCTTTTCATTTACATGCTGTCATATTCTTCTTCTTCTTCTTTTCTTTCTTCTTCTTTTCTTTCTTTCATTTTACTTTCTTTCTTTTCATTTATACATTCTTTCATATTCTTCTTTTTCTTCTTCTTCTTCTTCTTTCTTTCTTTCTTTCTTTCTTTCTTTTCATTTACATGCTGTATTCTTCTTAATTCTTCTAATTCTTCTTCTTCTTCTTTTCTTTCTTTCTTTCTTTCTTTCTTTTCATTTATACATACTGTCATATTCTTTCTAATTCTTCTTCTTCTTCTTTTTTCTTTTCTTTCTTTCTTTCTTTTCATTTTACATTTATTCTTCTAATGCTGTCATATTCTTTTCTTTCTTTTTCTTTTCTTTCTTCTTTTCATTTATTTTGCTTTTCTTTCAATTCTTTTCTTTCTTTTTTTTTTCTTTTTTCTTTCTTCTTTCATTTATACATGCTGTCATATTCTTCTAAATTCTTCTTCTTCTTCTTTCTTTCTTTCTTTCTTTTTCTTTCTTTTCATTTATACATGCTGTCATATTCTTCTAATTCTTCTTCTTCTTCTTCTTTTCTTTCTTTCTTTCTTTCTTTTCATTTATACATGCTGTCATATTCTTCTAATTCTTCTTCTTCTTCTTCTTTTCTTTCTTTCTTTCTTTCTTTCTTTTCATTTATACATGCTGTCATATTCTTCTAATTCTTCTTCTTCTTCTTCTTTTCTTTCTTTCTTTCTTTTCATTTATACATGCTGTCATATTCTTCTAATTCTTCTTCTTCTTCTTCTTTTCTTTCTTTCTTTCTTTCTTTCTTTTCATTTATACATGCTGTCATATTCTTCTAATTCTTCTTCTTCTTCTTCTTTCTTTTTTCTTTCTTTCTTTCTTTATACATGCTGTCATATTTTCTAATTTTCTTCTTCTTCTTCTTTTTCTTTCTTTTCTTTCTCTTTTTTTTTATACATGCTGTCATATTCTTCTAATTCTTCTTCTTCTTCTTCTTTCTTTTCTTTTCTTTCTTTTCATTTATACATGCTGTCATATTCTTCTAATTCTTCTTCTTCTTCTTCTTTTTCTTTCTTTTCTTTTCTTTCTTTTCTTTTTTTCATTTGTACATGTGTATTCTTCTAATTCTTCTTCTTCTTCTTCCTTTTCTTTCTTTTCTTTCTTTCTTTCTTTTCATTTGCCATACTGTCATATTCTTCTTCTTCTTCTTCTTCTTTTCTTTTTTCTTTTCTTTTCTTTCTTTCATTTATACTGTCATATTCTTCCCCAATTCTTCTTCTTCTTCTTCTTTTTCTTTCTTTTCTTTCTTTCTTTTCATTTCTTACATGCTGTGTCATATTCTTCTAATTCTTCTTCTTTTCTTCTTTTCTTTCCTTTCTTTCTCCTACCATTCATACATGCTGTCATATTCTTGTTCTTCTTCTTCTTCTTCTTTTCTTTCTTCTTTCTTTTCTTTCATTGCCACATGCTATATATTCACTAATTCTTCTTCTTCTTGCATGCTTTTACTTTCTTTCTTTCTTTTCATTTGCCATGCTGTCTATTCTTCTAATTCTTCTTCTTCTTCTTCTTTTCTTTCTTTTCTTTCTTTCTTTCTGCTCATTTATATGCTGTCATATTCACCTAAAATTTCTTCTTCTTCTTCTTCTTTTCTTTCTTTCTTTCTTTCATTTATACATGCTGTCATATTCTTCCTTCTTCTTCTACTTTTCTTCTTTCTTCTTTCTTTCTTTCATTTGCTTGGCTGCTACAATGTAACTAATTCTTCTTCTTCTTCTTTTCTTTCTTTCTTTCTTTCTATTTGTTATATATTCTTCCTAAATTCTTCTTCTTCTTCTTCTTTCTTTCTTTCTTTATTTTCTTTCTTTTTCATTTATACATTTATAAATTTTCTAATTCTTCTTCTTCTTCTTCTTTTTCTTTCTTTTTTCTTTTCTTTTTTCATTTGTCTCATTCATTTTATCTGCTCTTTCCTTAAGATTTAAAACTTTCCATGGTTTGTTGCTTTTTTTCTTTTATCTGCACTTTCTTTCATTTTCCTTGATTCATTCATTTATCTGCACTTTCATGAAGAAAAGCTTGAATGTTTTGTCCGTGATCATGTCATTCATTTTTCTCTTAAGAAAAGCTTCAATATGTTTTGTCCATGACCATGTCATTCATTTTATCCTTTCTTTCTTTTGTTACCCATGTGTTTCATTTATCTCTTTCCTGAAGAAAAAATCATTTTGTCTGTGACCATGTCATTCATTTTCTCTAGACTTTCTTTTATCTTTTTTTGTCCGTGATCTTTTCATTTTACATGCTTTTTCCTTTGACCATTTTATTCAAGGCTTTAATTTAATCCTTTTTCTTTGACTATTCTCACTCTTCTTCATTTTTTTTACATGCAATCTTTCCTGAACTTTAAGAGTTTTTAATCCTTTTGTCCGTCTCCTAATTCCTATCTTTTCATTCATTTGACTACGTTTCTTACCTCATTTTCCTTTTTCTTCTGACAATTTAATTCATTTTTATGCTCTTTCTGAAGAAAACTTTAATCCTTTCCTCCGTTACTGAACCTTATTCATTTTAGAGGCTCATACCTGAAGAAATTTTAATATTTTCTCCGTGACAATGTGATTTCCTATGCTCTTTCCTGAAGAAAAGCTTTAATAATTCTACTCATTCATTTTTTACATGCTCTTTCATTCCTTTCCTTCGTGTCTCATTCATTTTTTATCTTTCCATGCTTTAATTCCTTTCCTTTTTTTTTTTTTCTTTTAAACTCTTTTAATTTAATTCCTTTCCTTCGTGACCGTCTCATTCATTTTTCCTGGGAAAGCTTTAATTCCCTTTCCTTCGTGAAAATTCATTTTCTTACTCTTTCCTGGAAAAGCTTTAATTCTTTTCTTCGTACTGACTGTCTCATTCATTTTACATGCTCTTTCCTGGAGAAAAGCTTTAATTCCTCTCCTTCGTGACTGTCTCATTCATTTTACTTTTTCTGGAAAAGCTTTAATTCCTTTCCTCTTCGTGATTGTCTCATTCATTTACAAGCTCTTTCCTGGAGAAAAGCTTTAATTCCTCTTCTCCTTCGTGACCGTCTCATTCATTTTACATGCTCTTTCCTGGAAAAGCTTTAATTCCTCTCCTTCGTGACTGTCTCATTCATTTTACATGCTCTTTCCTGGACTCTCTCCTTCGTGACGGTCTCATTCATTTTACATGCTCTTTCCTGGAGAAAAAGCTTTAATTCCTTTCCTCCGTGACCGTCTCATTCATTTTACATTCTCTTTCCTGGAAAGGCTTTAATTTCCTCTCCTTCATATGTCTCAGATTTTAAAGCTCTTTTCTCTTCTTTCTTTAATTTCCTTCGTGACCGTCTCATTCATTTTTACATGCTTTAATTCCTCTCCTTGGAGTCTCATTCATTTTAAAGCTTTAATTCCTCTCCTTCGTGACTGTCTCATTCATTTTACATGCTCTTTCCTGGAGAAAGGCTTTAATTCCTCTCCTTCGTGACTGTCTCATTCATTTTACATGCTCTGTCCTGGAGAAAAGCTTTAATTCCTTTCCTTCGTGACTGTCTCATTCATTTACATGCTC